TTCCATACTTTCCACTTGATTCCTTTTTATGAAGTGTATTTCTTCTGTGAGATTTTCTTCTTTTTCCTTTCTCAACTGTTTCAAGAGTGCTGGTAATTGTTTGTTGATGTATTTTTGTGATGACTGCCTTAAAAATCCAACGTCTTGGAAAATTCCAGCGTCTGATTCTCTTCTGTGTTAGTATGTGTTGATTGCCTTTTCTCATTTCTCATTCAGATACTTGTCATCATGGTTCTCGGTGTGATGAGTGATTTCCCACCGTACCCTGGGCATTTGGACATCACGTTGGGAAGCTCCAGATCCTCATTAAGTCTTCCATGTGAGCAGCTGTCATTCTGTTTAGGAGTAACATGGGGGCCGGGCTTATTATGAGCTGTGGCTCCGATGACAATTTAGCTTTCAGAGTTGCTCGTCAAAGTGCTCTTGTGACTCTGCTGAGTCCACCTGGTATTGCTGGGAACACCCTGGGGGCAAAATGTGCTTCCCTGGTTGCTCTGTGTCCAGAGGTAGGAGACACTGGCCATGGATAGAGAGTGTGTCCCTGGGCCTATTTTCCAGGGTGCTGGGTGCCAGGGAGGGTAGTCATCTGCCTGGTCACCTTGTCCACTGCATGGCAGATGGGAGACACAAGTCCTGTGTTCTTCCTTCAGCCCCAGGTCCCTGGCCAGTCTAGCTTCCTCTCTCCACCCTTCGGAGTTCTGTGGTTGTCTGCCACACCTGGAAAGGTTTTTCAGTTGTACTGAGTGGGGATGAGCAGGGAGAGAGGCGTCTCTGCCACCTCATCACTAGGGTGCTCTTGAGTGCCCTTAGAATTGGTCTCTCTAGGGACGGGACCAGCTCTCAGTAGACTTCAGAGGCCCTGGCCATCCCATGTGCAGCCAGGGTTGAGAGGTCCTGTTTAGAAAGTCCCTTCACATATCCAGAGATTTTACTTGACCCTCACAAGCCAAGGCATTACACATGAGCCCATTCTCCAGGTGAGGAAGCTGAGACCTAATGAAATTAAGTATCAGGTCAAACAGTTACTCAGGAAGAGGAAAAGCCAAGTGCCCAGGACTCCGGCTTTGGGACCTCGCAAGCCCTTGTGCTCCGGCAGCTCCGCCCTGCTGAGGCTTTGCTGGTGTGGGGTCTTCTGGAGACGGGCCTGGCAGGCGGCATTGGCTGGCCTTCAGAGTGTGTGCCACGCGTGTGTGTCAGAGGGAGAGACAGCACCGAGGGGGAAGGTGGATGTGCTGGTCCTGGGACGGGTGGCAGCTGGGTACTCTTGACCTGAGGATTATCAGGCCCTGTTAGCTCTGGACACCTGCCCACGCCCCGTGTCCAAGCTCAGCCTAACCCCTGTCACCTGCTCCAAGAAGCCCACTGTGGCAAATTTGCCCTCAGCGTTCTGCTGGGACCACTCCTGGGACCCTGAGCATGGTCTCCTTGGGTCTGTCCCTCTTCTGGGCTGGCTTGTCAGAGGTTAGAGTAACCACCGGATGTGCGAGCAGAGGCCCCTCGCAGATGAGCGGATGGCTGCTCCAGGTGCAGCTTGAGACACAAGGCCCGTCACGCGCCCAGGAGGCTCTGCAGACATCCAGGGCGCTCTCCCCGGGCAGCTCCGTGGCAGTTTCACCAGCGCCGTGAACGGCTTTCAGCTCACTGGTGCGTGGACACGTAGCTTTGCAGCTGCCTGGCCCTGTGTAGGCCTGGGCTCCTTCTCTGGGCCTCAGTATTCCCGTCTGAGGAAGGAGGGGTTCCTTCAGCCCCAAGGAACCATGAACAGGAGGCCCCCTGGGCTGTCTGAGCTTCACGCTTCAGAAGCAAGTAAGAGGGGCCCACTGAAGGCTCCCCCACGGCTAGGCTTGTGGACTTGACCTGCTCTGCTGTGAGCGCCGCCCCCCCAGGTCTCAAGCCACAGGACGCCAGGCCTACATTTGAGCCCCAAAGCCCAGATGCTTCCTGCCAGGAGGGCTGGTTCATCCCTGTTCTCAGAGAAGTTGATTCCAAACTCAGAGAAGCTTGCTCTTGTACCAAGGTCACACAGCAAGCGAGAGGCTAGGATCCCATCCCCGGGCGGACCAGCACCTGGGTCTGGCCCTCTCTGCTGACCC